GGGACCACAGGCGCCCGCCACAACGCCTGGCTATTTTTTGGTTGCAGCCGTCATTGTTGTTTGGCGGGTCCGGGCTGGATTCAGACTCGCCACCTTAGGTGTACGTGGCTGGCGCCTTAGCCGGTTGAGCTACAGGCACCAAGCCAATTTCATTAATTATTTTAAATTTTTGAAATATTTTATATCAGTGTTACTGGGATACAGATGCTTTTGGTTACATGGACTGCTCTAGTAATGCTGGAGTCAGGTTAGAAGGCTGCCCATCACTTGGAGAGCATTCCTTGCACCCATTAGGTAGCTTTTGCCCATCCTGCTTGATTTCCACCGAGTTTTACTTCCCTCTGTGCACACGTGTGGTCATCGGTTAGTTCCAATTTAACAGTGAGTACGTGTGGTGTTTGTTTGTCTATTCTTCAGGTACTTAGGATCATGGTCTCCATCCACATTGTTTCAAAAGGGATTAATTCATCCTTTGTTATGGCTGAGTAATAGTCCATAGAGTACATACACCACATTTTGTTAATCTACTCCAGAATTCACAGGCATGTGGGTTGAGTCCACGTCTTTGCAATTGTGAATTGCAAAGGTGTGCAGGTGTCGTTTTGATAAAATGACTACTTTTCCTTTAGTTGTAGGATTGGTAGATCAAAAGGTAGGTCTACTTATAGTTCTTTGGGGAATCTCCATACTATTTTCATAGCGGTTGTATTAATTTGCACTCCCACCAACAGTGTATAAGCATTCCTTTCTCTCTGTATCCATCCCAGCAACTGTTGTTTTCAGACTTTTTAGTAAAAGCCATTCTAACTGGGGCAAAGTGATATCTCATTGTGGTTTGAATGGGTTAATGACAGTGTACATTTTTTCATATGTTTATTGACCATGTATCTTTTGTAAAGCTTCTATTTATGTCTTTTCCTCACTTTTTAATGGGGTTGGGTTTTTTGTTTTGCTGATTTGCTTGAATTCTTTATAGATTTTGGGTATTTGCCCTTTATCAGATGTATAGCTTGTGAATATTTTCCCCCATTCTGTAGGTGGTATATATGTTCTGTTGATTATTTCGTTAGCTGTGCAGAAGCCTTTTAATTTAATCAAGTCCTGGCTCGGCGCCTGTGGCTCAAGCGGCTAAGGCGCCAGCCACATACACCCAAGGTGGCAGGTTCGAATCCCCAGCCCGGGCCCACCAAACAACAATGATGGCTGCAACTAAAAAATGGCCGGGCGTTGTGGCAGGAGCCTGTGGTCCCAGTTACTTGGGAGGCTGAGTCAGGAGACTCACTTGAGCCCAGGAGTTGGAGGTTGCTATGAGCTGTGATGCCATGGCACTCTACCCAGGGGGATAGGTTGAGGCTCCGTCTCAAAAAAAAAAAATATTTTAATCAAGTTCCATTTATTTTTGTTGTTGCTGTGATTGCCATTGGGGTCTTCTTCATAAATTCTTTGTCTATTCTGATAAAGAGAAGAGTTTTTCCAACCCTTTTTTCTAACATTCTTATGGTTTCATGTCTTACATTTAAGTCTTATATACATCTCAAATTAAAATGAGTGGCGAGAGGTATAGATAAATGTTTATTTATTTATTTATTTTTGAGACAGAGTTTTACTGTGTGCCCCCAGTAAAGTGATGTGGCGTCACAGCTCACAGCAACCTCAAACTCTTGGGCTTAAGCAATTCTCTTGCCTCAGCCTCCCAAGTAGCTGGGACTACAGGCACCCGCCACAACGCTGGCTGTTTTTTTGTTGCCGTTGTCATTGATATTTAGCTGGCCCTGGATGGGTTCAAACCCGCCAGCCTCAATGTTTGTGACTGGCACCATAATCACTGTGCTACGGGTGTCGAGCCGTGGATAACTGCTTCATTCTTCTGCATGTGGCTATCCAATTTTCCCAGCACCATTTATCATTCATTATTTTAAAGTTGTGCTGTTTATTTTCAGTTTAGGGAAATTTTTTTCCCCAAGATTCTAAAGGTACTCTATAAAAGATGTGGATCGGTGACATGCGTTGTCATCACCATCGTACGAGTGTGGGATGTGAGCCTCGGAAAGGTTAGCTTATCTAAGGCTTTCCAGCTAGGAAGTGGTGGTGGTAGCTGAACCCCAGTCTTTTTGTAGAATGAAGAATTCTTAGTAATTGGTGCCGGTGCTTTCTTTCACTCTCCATGATGACGTACGCTGCAAGAGGAGCTGTGTTCGCTGTATCCTAGAGTTCAGTGGGGTGCTTCAGGGAAAAGAATAAGCACCACTCTGGCTTACCTTGGCTCCAATTCGGAACATTAACTTCTGTCTCTGAATTCTGATATTAACTTGACCTCAGTCTCTCATTTAAATCGAAATCTTTTTATTTTTGCAATTTTAAATTTCAAAGGGGTACTTTTATTTCAAATACACACAGCATACAAGTTCAGGCAGTTAAGTTTGTAACCTTATCCTAGAGAAGGTATTATGTACCTCATTGCTGAATATTACTACAGTCACCTTCAAAGTACTTTCCATGGAAAACTGTACTGACACCAGTGCCTAGTCCACTCTTCAAAGCAATTTTGGAACTCTTTTTCTGGAGTGACCATCAGAACTGTCATTGTATTACCCCTAAATGTCATAAAAATGTCTTCCTATCAATATTTCCTTTATCTTCAGGTAAAGAAAATAGGCACTGGGGGACATGTCAGGTGAGTAGGGAGAGTGTTCCACTATAGTTATTTGTTTACTGGCTAAAAACTCCCTCATGGACAGTAGTGTGTGAACTGGTGCGTAATCATGATGCAAGAGCCATGCATTGTTGGCCAAGATTTTCAGCTAAGATTTTCCTGTTTCTCCATCTATGCTTATTTGATCTGCTGTGCTACTCACAGTCAACCAGTGATTCTGACTCACAATTTGGCTAATTTTTGGAGTGTGTTCATCAGTCTGCTGATTACTATCTGCCTTGACCTCTCTTCATCAGTGATGCTCTCTCTCCCCTCAAAAAAGTGTTTAATCCATGTGTACACTGTTGTTTTCTTCTTGGTGTTATCCCCATAAACTGGGACTAATATGTCCCTGAATTCACTTCCACTCTTGCCAAGTTTAACAAGAAATTTATGAATGTTGCTGTAATTCAGCCTCTGACAGTCTTACAACAACATAGAAAAAACATGCAGCAACAATAGTGAATGTGACTCAGTAAGACATTGCCATGTGTCAACACAAACACAGCTGTGAGACATCGATATACCAAGGTTATGAAACCTTACCGAGTTGTTTGTACAGTGCTGCCAATAAGGGCACGGTGGCAAGTTTGCAAACTCATCAGACTTTGTAGGATTCCATTCATGTAAATCAAAGAGTAGTCCAAATGCATAGAGACAAAAAATAGAAAAATGATTATCAAGGGCTTGGGGAGGAATTAGTGTTTAATGGGTATAGAGTTTCACTTGTGGGATCAGGTAAACTCAAGTTGCAATTCAACCTTGCCACATAGTTGCTGTGCCCTTGGACAAGTTACTTAATATCCCTGTACCACCGTCATTTTCTCTATAAAGAAGAACATATTTGGTATTGTCTTCTTCATACTCTGGTCAGGCATTTTTTCTCAGGTAGCATATCAAGTTCAACGTGTGTAAAGCAATGCAGCATATTTCCCCTGTGTGCTCTCGTTCAGCCTTCCACTCATTCACCCCGCTTGACCTGTGGGAAACATCTTTGACTGGCTTCCCTCACCTGTTTTTGCTGTGTCATTGGGCACCCTATCACCCCCTGAATGTTCCCCACCTTTGCCACCTCTTCTCTATCTCTGCTGTCTGTGCCCTACTTGGTTACGTCTTATCAGCTTCTGACTCTGTGCTGTTCAGTAGGGTAATCACAAGCCACATAATGACTAGATTTAAATAATGTAAGATGAAATAAAAGTAAAAAATCCAATCCCTCAGCCTGACGTTCGGCATTTCCCATGCCTCCTGGCTCCTGTCGTGTCTCGTGGCTACTGCATTGAGCAACACACCAGTAGTAGAGCATCTTTGTGGTTGTGCAAAGTTCCTTTGGGCAGTGCTGCTCTAGGCCAGGTTGGCAAACTGTGACTTGTGGGCCAGACCCACTGTCTGCTCTTGTGGGTGATGTTATATTGGACCATAGTCACGGGCGCTTGTCTGCCATAACTGCTCTTGCCCTCTAGCTGCAGAGTGAGGAGAACTTGCAGCCTCCGGGGGCTATTGCTTTAATGTCCACTTTCTGGCTTTCTGTGGACAGAGTTTCTGGTCCCTGCTCTAGACCATCTCCTGCCTCCTGCCCTGACCCCTGTGCGTCTCTCCTCTGTAGTGTTATCTTCCACACTGAGGATCACAGGCAGCTCTGCTGGGTGGATTCTTGCAGTGGCTCTGCTTCATGCAGGATACAATATGAACTCTGTAATGTGACACAGAAAGCTCTCCACACACAGCGTCTCATCTGCTTCTGCCACATTTCCTCAAACTCTCCTCTCATACCAGTTGGCCCGCGTGCTGGCAGGGCTTCCTGTCATCTCACTCTTTATACAAGATTCAACTCAGGGACCACTTCCATCATTAAAATCTATCTCTTTCCAGGCTGGGTTGGGTGCCCCTTTCCTGTGCTTTCATAAGAGCAACATAGGTTTATGTTCCTTGTATGTTTATTTTATTACAAAGTTCTCTTTTTTCTGTTTCCTGTTTATCTTTACATTTCATTAGGTCAGGGGCCCAGTTTTGTTAAACAATGCTGTGTGGTCAGCATCTATGCGTTGTCCGGTTCATAGTAGCCATTGCATTGCTTTGTGAATGAGTGAACTTCCAAGAGATAATGTGTTTAATAAGTTTTAGCAAATTCTGT